GGAGGGAGGGGGAGAGGAGGGAGGGAGAGAGAGGGAGGAGGGGAGGGGGCCCGGGTGCCTGCGATTGGTAAAGCTCCGCAAAGGCATCTGCCAGCAGGACTTCAGAGGAATGTGAAACCAAATCATTTACAAGTTAAAGATAGACGCAGAATACACAGCATCTTGAGCCAGGGTTTAAATTCGTCCCTCTCCGCCTGGCTTCTCGCAAAGATCTGCTTGTCAGCTTGCCTCTGTCTCCTCTAACGACTCTAATATTCCCTTAAAAAGAACATCGTTCTGGATTCTTTGGAATTACTAAAGTGGCAGAAGAGATCATGGTGCACACCGTAGGGTAAGTAGGAAAGCTTGCCTTCGCATACGTTTGCTAGGGTGGTGGTTCCTTTGGGCTTTCCTTCTGCTTTCTGGGCACTCGGCAGTTCCTGCAGGATGAGGTAGATATTTAAGTAATGCTTTCCCTGTGTGATTTATTCCCGCATTTTCCCCGTACAGATTATTTGAACTTTATTCCCCATTGAAGTGTTAATTTACAAGGTTACTTGTCGTGGCGTGCCTAGGGAGTCCTGGGTGTTAATATTTTACCATTACAGTTTTGAGTGCTGTTTTCCTATCAGCTGAAATTTGTTATATACCTTTGCTCTTAGCGGGATATGCTGTTTGAAAAGCTGCTTATTATTACAAAGTTGAAAAGTGGGTTGTTTTCTGCATTAGAGAGGATGTAATCAGTGTTTGCTTGTTTGGCCATGGTTTCACTTACCTGCTCTTTTCTCATGTGTGGATTTGATCACAACACAGGGTTAATTAAATTTAACCTTTTTGTTTGGTTGTTTCCAAATAATGCTTTTACTTGGTGTTTGGTCCTTGTTTTTTTGTTTTAACATTTTTGCCCTCTTGTTTTCTCTGAACAAAGTTCTTCTAGCAGTGATTTTAAAATGTGCACATTCCCCTGATAGTCCTTACTTAACTAGTCAGTTTGTGAGTAAAAAGAAGATTCAGGCTATTGTTCTTGCTACAGTTTACCAGACGTAATTTCAGTATCTAGCAGATACTTCATTGATCAATGTTTTTTTCAGGCTATTTTTCAAATATTTCTGGTGAAGTTGTGGTGTTCCTATGCCCAAAAGGATTTTTAAATATCAGAAACTCAGTGGGAAGTTAGCTGTATTGTTTGTTATATAGCAAGAACTCATATTCTGAGTTTCATCTGAATCAGTGCTTTGAATGAGGATTGCCTAAATGCCAGGATCGGGTTTTGCGATTTATTCTGGGCACGCCTGTTTTACACTCGTAGTAGAGGAGCTCCTAACTTTGGATTTGGTGGCAGTTCACTCAAACATACTCAGAATTCCTGACGTGTTAGTACTGCCCATAATAACCATAGGAAGTAGGTGCTGTCTGTGGATAACTGAAACGCCTAACATTTTTGGTTATAGATATCAGTGCCGAAGAGACTCGTATATAATGGCAGTCCGTGTCTTGCAAAGTATGTGGAACTGAGTGAACTAATATAGAAATATTTCTTCTGTTTGAAGGAAAGATGATGCATCTTGTATGTTTTGTTATCTTTCTTCCATTTGATCAAGTTCATCCCTATTGATCAGCTTACTCAAATTTTGTAAAACATCTGGGTATATTTGGGAGAGCAAATCTACTATGAAGCGTTTCCTGCGTTGTTAAATGTAGAAAAGAACCTTTAAGGTTAATCTGAAAAAAAAACAACAAACAAACAAACAAACAAAAAACAACTGCAGGGGTGAAAAATGACATTCAGCTAGTTCTTACAGTTTGTACTGTCTGGGTGTTCTTTTAACTAGCTCAGACTAGCTAAACACTTTGGTTCCACGCTAAATTTCCAGGCCAACAGTTACTTACATTAAGGTATCACTGTTTGGTATTGAAGGGAAAGAACTTTGAGACAAAATGTGTCAAGATGAGTAAAAACTTGCAACAGGGCTTAATAAAGCTGTGGTTAGTTTCTGGCTCTTGCACAGGATCCTGTGCAGCTTCGGGCAAGTCATGTGAGCTCTCAGAGCCCCTGCAAACCTGAAGGGGGTGGAAATGCCTTTATTACTTTTCTGTGTTAGGTATCTGGATAGCAGTTCCATCGCCTCTGATGAGGCTTGGCACAATAGGCTTCTGTTTTCAAATGCACCCTCCCCAGGGCTATAGCAGAAGGCAGGAGGGAGGAGGAATCCATAGATTTGGAAGCAGTGGTTTGCTACACCTTTTATAAGCTTCCTAAACTGAAAGAGAAAAATAGACTGACATTCAGAGGTGAGCAGAAAATAGAATTAATGTTCCATGGGAAATTCCTGAGTCAGTTCAAAATTAAATTGCATTTCCCTACCACAGTGTATTGCTTTTCAGAAGTTACAGTTCAGGAGCATGATGTTCCCATTTCATTATCTGAGACCCTTCTCCCATAATTAAATGTCCAAGAGGCACTGGAGAGCTTTGTCACAAGGAAACCTGCTTTATATTCTGGGAAGTGAAGCTGCTTGAAAAACCTTGTTCCTGGAAAGGAATGAGCATCTGTCCCAAGAACAGGGAGTTGTCAGGGTAAAGAACTACGATGTGGTATTTGGTTTACTTTTAAAAAATATATTCTGTTGCATCTAATCCACCTGAAATAACATCTTCCAGCTGTTCTATCAGTAAGTGGAAAATCTTCAATAAACTGTTAATTTCCCATAGAAAATGTTGCTGTATTTAATATAGTTTGTATATTATAATGTTGGCATATTTTCTGAAATAGAAAATCCTTGGCCAGCTGTTAGGGTGAATTTTACACAGTTAGGGTGCATATGGTACCACATGTGTTTGGTGATGATGGTACTACACAGCAGCACAATACTGCTGAGGTTTTTGGGTAAGTAGCTTTATCAGGGCAGGTCATAGGGGCTGGGATGCCTCGCCTTGCCTCGCCTCGCCCTTCTTCTCTCCCTGTCCCCTTCTTCCCCACTAGCCCTGTGCTCCTCAGGTGACTAGGGTTTGTTGGGAAGCAGGAAGGGAGGAAGGAGAGAGAGGGAGACATGTTCTTCTTAAAGGCTTTCGTAACAAGGTGTTGCTGGGGGTGGTGACACCCTCTTCTTAATCTCCTTGACTTCCTGCCTCACTGCAGCCTTCTTTTCCCTCCCTCCCCTTTTCCAGGACTTCCACAAACCCCACACTGGGGGAGACAGAGAAGTGCTGCTGGGACAGAGGGGATGGGAAGGTGAGAGGGCACCTGCCCCCAGCCCCTGCCTCTTGCTAGTGCAGAGAGAGGAGAGATTATAGAGGCCCTGGTCTTCAGGAGGATCAAGCCAGGGGACAGACATTGATGAGGGGAGCACAGGCCTACAGCTGAAGTGTTGGTGCCTACTGGTTTTGGGTACTGTGTGAGTAGTTGAGGTTCTATTCCGATGCTGGTACAGTGTTCATCACTAGAGTGTGCCACGCTTTCCTGCTCAGAGGAGCTGACTGTTCAGTGTCACTTAGGGACAAGCCCTGCTTCTTCACAGCTAGTAGTATGTCTGCTTCTGGAGCAGGCAGGGCACCGTCCCTGCCTGTGCGTTATCATTAAGTTGTAAGTGACTTTGTCATGAGAGTCCAGAAAAATGCTTTCTGAGGTGAGAATGGGTTTGCAACATTTTTTTCCTTTAATAAATCTTATGCTCCTTCCTTTCCTTCCTTTCCTTCCTTTCCTTCCTTTCCTTCCTTTCCTTCCTTTCCTTCCTTTCCTTCCTTTCCTTCCTTTCCTTCTTTCTTTCACCTTATCCTCTTATTTCTTCCAAGAAGACAAGAGTTTGTTCCTTCCGCAAATTTGGCTGGCCTAGCACTAGAAATGTGCTGGTCCCACATGCCTGGTCCTCTTGGAGCAATCACTCAGCTAGTCCAAACAGAGCAGTTAATCATTCACCAAAGTACCTGAAAAATCCCTCACACGTGGTGGAGTAATGGAGCCTTGAACTCGGTTCAATCATTATCCAAAGTGAAGTCACTAGAAGGCACCCTGTGATAAGTC